GGATCACTTGTTCTTGACAGTCGTTTATGCATCTAGTTCAGGGAATCATAATGAGAGATAGAGCATATAGGTAGCCATGTGAGATTTGAGCCTGCTCGTTTCTTTCGTGTGCGATAGTTCCCTCTTCCATGATGTGTAGCATTCACGTTGTCATTAGCTAAGATGATGGAGGCATAGGATTAGCCCACGACCAAATTGACTGTCCTGGTGTGTCATACCCCCTAGTCAGCCCCTTTGAGCCGTGTGTTCTCCTTTCTTTCGGTCTACAATGAAAAATCACCCTTTTGCATCCCTTAGAAGGTTCCACAGAGTGGTTTTTACATGTTCTCTGCTGTTTCTGCTAAATATAATGTGAGGGTTGGAGGTAGTTCTTAAAAAGTTGGGCAGGTGTTTGAAAAATGTGCAGAGGTGGTAGTTCTCTTAAGAAATGAAAGAAAAATGAAAGAAAAACAAAGAAAAAATGAAAGCAAAAGAGAGCCACCACCAAAAATCTAAATAGTGCCCATTAAGTAGTGTTTCTTAGCAGTCTGGCTTAGAAATACTAACATTTATGTGACCTCCTTCGCTCGTGCGCTCTGAAGAATTTGAGTAATGCAGAATAGCAGAAAGAAAGTACTGGTTTGATTGACTGTGAGTTTGTTGGGTTTGGAATTGTGGAACCTTGTGCTATGAATACTTCCACCACCTAAAAGGCTTTTTCCCCATCTCCAAAACCCTAGCCAGTCATTTGAACCTGTGTCTAAGACGTCCGGATTGGTTAGTGATGACACCCATTTATGTGAACTCTAACATTTAGAGTCTGCCGTCATGGTGAAGAGATGCTAGGGATTGAGAGAATAAGTATGCACATTTTTCGCATCAAATTGTCCTGACCCCACTGGTCGAGAGTGAGTGATTCATTTCCTTGTTCTTTACACTCTTTACCCCGGTGAGGACCTAGATGGCTCAGTCTTGATTCTGATGTCTTGAGTTTTATGCATGAGTTGACTGTCTTGAGTAAGTGGTTGAGTCAAGTCTATGTTGGTTGATGAACAGAAGGGAGACTCCTCTTTTATTCAATTTTGCTGCACTCGAATGTCTTCTGTGGTGGTTGTCCAGGTTGCTATTGAAGTTGTCCATGTGTTGATGCTTGAAAGCCAGTATGATTCACGTGTTTCTGTGCCTATATGATTTGTCCCCAATGTTGGTATGATTGAAATATGTGAGCTTACCTTGTGTCTGACTTGATTTGCTTGGGGACAATCAAACAGTTAAGTGTGGGGGAGTTTGATAAACCGTTAATTGCACATGTTTTTACCCCTATTCTTGAGCCGTTTGAGATGTTGATTCTCGTGTTTTAGGCCGATTTCACGCTAGGTTGTCCTAGTACGTGAATGAAGGTTTGGGAGCGAGTTCGGGGTCGATTGGACGAAGATCGGACGTGTGGCGAGTCACTGAGGAAGCCACACGGGCACACATAAAACCCACACGGCCGTGTAAGGAACCAATGTGGCCGTGTGGGATTGTGCGAGGCTTCACACGGGCAGACTGGAGGCTCCACACGGCCGTGTGTCCCTGGCCGTGTAGGAAGCCTGAAATCCACTTAATCGAAACTCGGCGTTTTGACTCTCACACGGGCATCTGGGTAAGTCACACGGTCGTGTGGCCTGCCCGTGTGAGTCGGGAATTCTGGTTTTTACCCAATTTCGAGCCACAAGTGAGAGAATCGACTTTTGAGAGCAAAAACAGAGTTTTAGAGAGAGAAAGGGCGAAGAACAAACCCTAGGAGCTATTTGGAGTGGATTTCTTACCATTGAAGCCTAGATTGCGTCCCCAGGAGTGAAGATTGACATTCCAGAGCAGATTTTCCTCATCTTTATGAGTATGACTACTCTGATTTCTGTTTTCCTCTCTCTCTATATATGGAGTAGAACCCTTCTCTCACTTGGGTATGAAGAACCCTAGTTCCACGTGTTAGGGATTTGATTATAATGACTTGGGATGATTATACTGTTTGGTTTTAATCGAATGATGCATGTTTCATTGAATTGATTGAAGTCTGATCAGCTTTTCTTGATTTCTGTTGCAACCTGAGATAGATAGAATCTGATTAGGTTGTTAGAGCTTCATCATTCGGTAGTAGTGGATTGGTTATACGAGAGTTAGCCAGTCTACTGCTTTGTACTGGAATCCAATTCCAGTAGTGGAGTTTTATGCTTATTGCTTCAGCTTTCTATCCCGGTGAAGACTAGTCATCTGCCGGGTAGTTAGACTGAGAGGGCTTGGTCAGCTTAAGAGATTCCAAGCTACTGTCGGATCTTCCACAGTCTAATCAACAGTAAATCAACCCAGGGTAATTACAACTGAGACCTAACTAAGGAGCTAGGGGGACCTATTCCCGAGTGACTCTTCCTTTGCTTGAGAAAACCGAACCAATTCCTGCTTTCTTTCTGCTTTCAGTTAAGACCAAAAATCAATCAACTTAGTTTGCTAGATAATAGATAATCACGGAGTAGGCAGTAGATCTAGACCCCGGGTTGATATTTAGAACTTGCCACTTTACTGCATTCCCGGACTGCGATTACACTTGGTCGCAGTTTGGTGTTGTGTTTTGGCGTGTCATTAATATTGACTTGGCAACATCATACTGACTTGGTAGAGACACATGCAGGTCAACATTCCAAAATTTCGGTATTTTAACTAAGATAAGAGTTACAAAATTATTAATGATAACGTAAAAATTGCTAATATTTTGATGCATTACGAAAGATTGGCTAATTAATAGCATTTTAATAGGTTGACCCTTAGCCCACGTATTATTTTTGGTTATTTACTAAAATCCCCTTTTGGGGGAGAAGGGTGGATTGTTAGTGTGGACGATTTGGAAGATATAATTGGAGGCCATTTATGGTTAGGTTCCATTTGTACATTTGGTGGAATCTGGCATATCTTGCGGTTTCTTGAAAACTCGCCTCGGATATGAAACTTTGAGTATTCAGAGAAGCTCGTGTTATTCCCAATAATATGGCTCGGTAACCGATCGTTTCTTCCAAAGCGCGTCCTATTCGTTCCGCTCGCAATAATCCAATTAGTTCTCCGTCGGCGATAAAGTAGCTGGAAGACATGGGAATAAAGGCATCATTTCAAAAAATTTGCCTAGACAAGATATGCCTTATTTGCAAGATGGAAGACCAGTTGATATGGTATGAATAATATAAAAGAATCCGAAAAAGGTTTGGATAAAAAATAGACATTACCCTTATTTATTTTATTTAATAGTCATCATATATCTTAACCGTGCCACACAATGACATTCGACTTTTAAATACAAAAATAGAATATTTCTGAACTATTAATATTGATTACTATATTAATGACATTCGACTTTTAAATACAAAAATAGAATATTTCTGAACTATTTATATTGATTACTATATTGTGTAATATTCATGACGTCAATTAAAAACAAATTAATTGTATTAAAGTCATATAAAGCATAATGTTTCTTATTGTGAAAAAAGGTATGTTTCTTTATCATTGGTTGATGGAGTAATGTAATACTTGATACTTTTGCCAAACAAGAGAAATATACATATATAAAGAGCCTTGCTCTTTATGAATATATGGTTAGTGACTTTCTTTTCTTTTTTTAACGAATACTTCTTTTGAAATGGTCAAATAAAAAATTGGTATGAGTAATAGAAAATTTTATACGTCACAAGTGCTAGTTGGATCTGTGGGACACAAAGCAGGAGATGGCTAAATTACTACAATCTTACTAATTTGAGATGAATAAATTATAAATGTTAATCAACTTGTCTAATTGCTAGACAAGAAATTGCATTTGCATATTAATCCATAATCCAACACTCACCCGCCATCCACCCAATCCAACCTAAAGAAGAATGTGGGTGAATAGCGGGTTACAATTATACCAACTCGATATTAAGTGGGTGGATTAGTTTGAGGCAGAAATCCACCCAACCCACCCAATACCCACCTCTAATTGATAGCTGATATTCAACCACCTAAATTAACTAGTTTGAGTTTTATTCATATTTATACTTATACAAAATTCCGGTAGTAAATCGAAATCATTTTATTGTAACAAATCAAAACCATGTCCAAAATCAAGAAGAGTGTTTTGGGTATATCCATTAATACTATCATTTTACTCGACCGATTGGCCTGATATGGCAATTCCTATGTGGCCTAAATGTTGTTCTGACTTTTCCCAAATTTTTTAAATGGAGTTACATATGCTTCCTTCTTCACTGTAAATCTTAATAACAAACCAAGTAGACCTGGCAAATGAGGACCCGACCCGTTGGCCCGACCCGAACCCGCCCGTAAAATAAAGAATGGATTGAGATTTTTACAACCCGAATGACCCGAACCCGATTAACCCGTAGTTTTTGAGTCGGGTTGGGTTGGTTTGTGGGTCGACCCGCTAGACCCATTTCATTGCATATGTCACTCTCAAAATGATAAAATCACTCATACTTTGGTGAGATGTTTAAGAAAATTTATTAGGATTTGAAAGACAAGTTTGGAGTGTTAAGATAATCAAACATCATTTGTTTATTGTAGTAGTGTTACTTTCGTCATTGTTTTTTGACAATTTGTGCAATTTGTATTTCTTTTCATTATCCTGGAAGGAGTTGAGCATTTGTTAATTGACATGTTCTAGGTAAACTATTGTCGCACATACGTAAAAATTTGTGTTCTTTAAAAATTTATGAAGCATGTTTGATATTGTTTCTGAGAACGCTCATGACCCGAAATGACCCAAAATTGGGTCAATATTTGACCCGAAATCAGCAAACCCATCATGACCCGACCCGTGAAGACCCGTAACCCGAGATTCCTAACCCAAAATTACCCAACCCGATTGCCAGGTCTAAAACCAAGCATGTCTTACCTCCTTCCCTTCACTCTTCTCTATGACTACCGCCTGCTCCTCCCTATCAATTCATAACATAAGATGCTCCCACTATTTGAGCACAATTGAAACTCTTAGGCCCCGTTTAGTATCATTTTGTTGTTGTTGTGGTTGCAGTGGTGTTGTGTAAACAGATGTACAACCACAACAGGAAAAAAACAGAAAACACAAACCTGTCTAGTTGTTAAATCTAAAAAATCATGAAAGCTGGCAACAAGAAACAAAATCGTGTTTAGTTACTACTATAAGAACTAAAACCCAGACTAGAGAGATATGTCCTCAATATTAGGCACTGCGAATGATGCGGCGGCGGCAAGGGGAATGGGAGGCGGTGACGCATGGTCGAGCAGGGCGTCTGCTGGTGCGGCGGGAGGGTGGTCGCGACGGGAGGGGAATGGGGAGCCGGCAAGAGGGTGGTCGCGCGGGGAGGGGAAAGGGAGGCGGCGGCGCCTGGTCGCGCGGGGCGTCTGCTAGAGCGGCGGGAAGGTCGTCGCGGCGGGAGGGGAAAGGGTGCCGGCGGGAGGTTGGTCGCGCGGGGGCTTCTGCTGGTGGCGGCGACCGGTGCGCGGGGTGGGGAAAGGGAGGCGGCGGGAGGGTGGGTGAGAGGTTGGCGAGGAGGCGGCTAGGGGAAAGGGTAGAGGGTTTGGGGGGAGCTGTTGGGCGTAGGGTTTGGGAGAAAATGAGAGGGTAGAGGGTTTGGGGGTAAAAAAAAAAAGATGGAATTTTGGTTGAGGTGGGATTCGAACTGTGGGTTGGTTTAATGAAAACAGACCCTCAACCAGTAGGAAACCCGTGTAAAACAACAACAAGAATCAGATCCAAAGTAATAAATTGTTGTTTCTCTAATTTGGGCCCTGTTGTGCAAATCTGATTCACAACAAAAAATAGAAATCCAACTAAACATGTTTTTTTTAGGGTTGATGGTAGTGGAGTCTTTTGGTGTTTGTGGGCTTGCATTGTGTTGTTTGGGTTTTGGGATTGGTTTTTGTGGGTGGGCTTTCTGTATGTGGTGGTGTTTATGTGGGTAGTTGTTAGTTTACTTTTTTGTTATGTTGGGTTGCTTATGGGTTTTCCTTTTCATATTGGTTAGGGTTTTTTGAGTTTTTTTTTTTTTTTTTTGTCTGGGGCTTGGCCTCATGTTTTGGTCCTACGTTTTTTTCCTGGCCAATACTATGGTGCCGCTTTAAAAAGTGCGACACCAGTAACACAGTTTATGATTGGTCCATATGGACTATTACGTATCTGGACCAAATTTAAACAAAATTGGAAATGAGAATTTCTTTGAGGCGAGGTCGTATTCCAGGGTGCAAGTTGTCCGGTTTTGTTATCTATATTCAAGCTCGTTGATTGGGCTTTAATCCTTTCTTATAGCATATGCTTGAGTTCCTTATAGGTGATGTAGTTATACCGTAGGTAATACCAATGTCTAGTGTAGATCCAATTGTTCCATGTCTAGAACCAAATTGGCTTTCTAGGTAAACCTTGCTCAAATTTAGCATCCACTTTCTCGTAGCATCCTCGACAACTCATCTGCTTTTTTTTTTTTTGTTATGGCTCATCTAGTAACTATTGTTCTTACATAATTGTTACTTAAGTGCTTGATTATTAAAGGAGAGCTGAACATTATCAATTTGTTGTGGTGGCTGTAGTCTCATCGTTAAGCATTATCATCTTTTCTTTGGAACAGGAGATTAGAAGAGGACATTCCACAATAAAGTTGTCTACAATGGCAGTTTTGGCAGCAGTTACTGCAGACTCTACCAGTTGCCACAGGGTTTCTGCCTTGGCTTTGGCCTTTGTAAAGTTGAACCAAAGATTCCTGGTTTCAAGTGGTAGAGATGGAGCTATCAAGGTTCGTAAGTAAATAAATCAGGCTTGCAAGTGACTTGGCGTACATATATTAAGTAGTGTCCTATGATTGCTGCTATAGGGTATATATGCATGCAGCTCTGCACACATGTAATCCGGTATTCCTCTTAAATTTTATCATAGAGACAACAATAATGGCAACAAAGAAGAGCAGCTCCTTTTATTAAATCTACTGATGGCTATCTCAGATTGTGGGAGTGTGTTCTATTTCAAAAGTTTTAGTGATGTACACAACTTTGAGCTTCACTCTATTTCTTTTTTTTTTTTTTTACAAAAGATAATCATATATTGATTCAAAAAATAGGCAGTTACACCCTGGAAGACAGCCAGATCTGAAAATCAAAGGAATGACTCAAGGCCGGGTACAAAGAAAGGGCTTTGCTAGCCACCAAATGGGCTACCCTATTACTACGCCGACCTACAAACCGAATACTAAACCCAGCCTGAATCTGGAGACACTTAGAAATTTCTTCCAGAACAGCGCCCATCCTGTTATCTCCATGATCTCCCCGATTCAGCTTATCAATAATGACTTTGGCGTCGCCTTCAAAACGAACATCCGTCAGGCCCAATCCTTGACACCACAGAACCGCCTCCCGCAACACCAACAGCTCCACTACCATAGGATCATCAATAACCGCAAATTGCACACCCATGGCCATACTGATCACTCCTGAAGGAAGCAGCAGAACCATTCCTCCTGCCGAATGGGATCCCCTTCTAGTGGCCCCATCCCACCTACAGACCATACGAGGACCACCCTCCCCCTCCAACTGACCAGAACTAGGAGGAGAAGCCTGTGAGACGGATCGGGCAGGCAATCGAACCCATTCATCATACTGCTGGAAGAACTGACGCATCAGAACTGGAATCCCAAATTGTTTCCCTTCAAACACCACCCAGTTACGCGAGCGCCAGATCCGCCAAAGGATGGCCACAACTGCCATGAACAAAGTAGGTTGATTGATTAAGGCCAAAAGCTTTTTGAGAAACAAAGGAAACGTCTGACGAGGTAACCCCTCCTCAAGGTAGTCCAATCCCGAGTAATCCCACAAAGCCCGAGCCACCGGACAGTTTAGGAACAAATGCTCTAACGATTCCGTACTATCCCAACAAACCTGGCAACGAGGATGGACCGGGACCCTACGCTCAATGAGAGCCTCAGTAGTTGGGAGGGCTCGAGAGAGGATCTGCCAGACGAACACCTTCAGCTTAGGGGGAATGTTGGCCTCCCACAGACGAATCCAACTAGCCTTATCCATCCAGCTGACCGAGTCTTTCCACCCACCCTTCCGCTTATCCAGCAAGACCGCAAGGTGATAGGCCGATTTGACCGAAAACACCCCATCAGCAGTAATGCCATATCAACCTATCCTCCACATTCTGGCGCGGGAGGGGAATAACTTTGATGGCTTTGCAAGTAGCAGGGTCAAACCACTGCATAATTTTGTGTTCACTCCAGCGCCCCTCCCCCTGACAAATAATCTCGGCTACGACCGGGTCACCCCCATCAGGCAAAATACAGGGATTGTATTGAGGGGGATCCAGCTGACACTGAGGGATCCAATTGGAATTCAATAAAGATGCCACCCGCCCATTGCCGATTTGCCATCTCAGCCCTTTTTCCAATAGTTGGCGCCCAAAAAGAATGCTCTGCCATCCCCAAGACGGACGGGAGCGAGCCGTAGCGGTGAGGAAGGACCTATTGGGGAAATACTTTCCTTTGTACACCTGGGCCAGGAGGGACTGGGGCTCAGTCAATATCCGCCAGCCAATTTTGGCTAAGAGAGCTTGATTGAACTGCTCAAACCTGCGGAATCCCATCCCCCCATCATGCTTACTCCTACACATATTCCGCCAGGAGACCCATCGAATTTTCAGATGACCCTCAGCATCCCCCCACCAGAACCGAGCCACATGCTTGTCCAAGAGACGACAAAGCGAGACTGGTAATTTGAAGCATGACATTACATGCAGGGTCAAAGCCAAAGCAACGCACTTAATAAGGGTCTCCTTAGCCGCCCAGGACAATGTTTTTTGCTTCCAGCCCTGAAGCTTTGCTAACAATTTCTCCTCCAAGTACCTGAACGTAGCCATTTTGGATCTATGAAATAGGGTGGGCAACCCTAGGTATTTATCGTGGACTCCCACCGCCCCAACCCCCAGAATCGTATCCAGAAATTCTTGATCAGCCAGTACTATGTTCTTGCTGAAGCAAACAGCTGACTTTTCCAGATTCACCCGCTGCCGCTCAATTCTTCATACTCGTTCAAAACCTCTATCAGGTTCTCACATTCCTGAAGGTTCCCCCGCAGAAACAAGTATGAATCATCAGCAAAAAACAGGTAAGAAATTCTAGGGGCCTGAGGAGCCACCTTAACACCCTGAAGCTTCTTTTCCGCAATTGCCTTCCGCAGAAGAGCCGTAAATCCCTCAGTGCAAATCACAAACAATAGAGGTGACACCGGGTCTCCCTACCTCAGTCCCCTGGAAGGCTTAAAGTACCCCGAGGGGGATCCATTCATAAGCACAGAAAAAGAAGAGGACCGGAGGCACTCAAGAACCCATCCCTGCCAGACAGAGTTAAAGCCCATCTTATTCATAACTGCGAGGAGAAAGGGCCATTCGACTCTATCATAGGCCTTTTCCATGTCAACCTTTAAAGCCATGTACCCTTTCTTGTCCCGGGTTTTGATTTTCAAATAATGCATTAACTCATGTCCAAGGAGGATGTTATCAATTATCTGACGTTCACGGATAAAAGCGTTTTGGCCCTCATAGATAATTTGAGGGAGGATGCACGCCAGTCTTTCAGCCATAATCTTCGTTATAATTTTGTAAACAAATTAGCACAGACTAATTGGACGTAATTGCCGCATGGTCTCCACGTTATCCACCTTAGGAATCAAAGTGAGCCAGGTATGATTAAAGCTCTTAAGCATCTGACTCGTCTCAAAGAAGGAACAGACTGCAGCAATCACAGACTCCCCTACTACATCCCAGAAAGCCTTAAAGAATTTGCCCGTAAACCCATCAGAGCCCGGGGCTTGCTTTGAGCCCATGGAAAACACAGTTTTCCGTACTTCGCAGGGAAGGACCTCAGCCGTCAAAGCAGCGTTCATCTCAGGGGTAACACTCTGAGTAACAGGGAGATTGTTTACCCGCTCAGCCATATTCGGGACCTGTGTCTCGGAAGTAAAGAGCGAATGGTAAAAGTTTGTGGCAATCTCTGCTTTCCCTGATTCCTCAGCGACCCAATTCCCATTGTCACTATGAAGACCAGTAACAAAATTGCGCTTTCGCCTTGCACGGGTAACCGTATGAAAATAGGATGAATTTTGATCCCCCTTCTTCAGCCACCGGACCCTGGACTTTTGCTGCCAGTAGATCTCCTCCGCCTCCCACTGACGGTTAAGTTCAACCTCGAGATTTCTAACCTCGTCCCAATCAATTGGCCGAATCAATTTAATCCGCTCAATCTCCGCCTGCAGCATTTTAATGTTCTGCAAGGAATTAGTAGTGTCCGCCCTACTCCAATCATAGAGCAAGTGGCGAAGACGTTTGAGGCGCTCCCAAAGGCAGAACATAGGGGTTCCTTGAATTTCCTCCTTCCACACATAATTAACCATCGCCCTGACTTCAGGATTATCGGCCCAACGAGCATCAAATCGGAAGAGGGGGCGGCTATTGCGGGTGTAGGTCTTGTCTGATAGAAGGAGGGCACGATGGTCAGAACCCTGATCCTTGAAATGCTTAACCAAAGTATCCGGGAACCTATCAATCCAAGGGTGGGAGCACAGAGCCCGATCCAGGCGTTCACGGATACAGGCAGACCCCATCCGTCTGTTTGTCCAAGTGAATTGATCACCCTGGTAGCCCGGGTCATGGAGCCCCATGTCCTGAATAAAGT